CTTATGAAAACATGTAAACATACCAATAAGAAAATCGGATGCAGTGTACAGAAGAATGCTTGAGAGAGCCTGGAGGTGAATAGGCAGGCACTTATTTTTAAGCTACATTTTTAAAGCATTTCTCAAATCTCTTTACAAAAAAAAAATGCCTCCTGGATAATTAAAGACACTTGATCCGAGACAGCATTTTCCTACCTCTGTGCTAGTTATTCCAACGTCTTTCAGTCTGAAGATCACTCAAATTTCCCAACACAGATGCTGACCTTGTCTACGGAACTGGAGCCTACTGACAACAAATCGGTTTTAAAATTCTCATTCAAGAATCTTTACAGCGTTTTGCTGATTACAGGCTGAAATGTGCTGCTATCAGCACGTGCTTAAACCTCACTGACGTCACTCAAGGTTGAGTATCTTTTTCTAGCCCTGAGCTTGGGTCTATGTGATCCCAAGAGGCCAGGGTCAGTCACAGAACCGAAGCCACGATTTTATTTGGAGATTCACATCAGTAGGAGTGCTACTGATGGATACAAAGGATGCAGCTAAGCTGCAAACAGGAAAAAAGAAAAAAGATATTAAAGGCAGATGACAATTTTTGCCAGCGTTGATTGTACAATACACATTTCAGTCTGACTTTTTCAGCAGTCGGAACGAGGAAGCTTACACTAGCCAGGACCTTGTGATCTGGGAGACAGCTTTATAGCTACACTACTGTGCCTTGCTGCTGTGGGCACGTTTTATATGAATAGAGAACAGGATTTCCAATCAGTTTGAGCATATCCCTTTCTTCCTTCATGGCAAGAAGGATAAAACCCTCAGAGCAGCCAAAGCAGAAAAAAATTGCATAGTATGGCAGCTAGGAGGGCCAGAGACTGACTCTGTTAGTTGCCCCGAGATCTGAAGAGTCAAAACCACAGCCTCCAATATGAGGTATGTTTTGAAAAACTGTGTTCGTTCAATGTTTTCTTTATGCTTACGTATTAACTTTCATCAGCTGGGTAGATAAAAATTGCAGAAACCAGAGGGTTTGTCCCCCCCCATCCATCCCCTAAGTTTGGTTTTAAAAAGGTGGTCAAATTTCCACAGAGGAACCACGTGATGGACAAATTAAGAGCAAACAATCAAAGTGCTGCCAATTACATTTTGGGGTATCCTCAACATCAATCTTGTTCTTTACTCTTTCTTCAATATTTCTGAATAAGATGATGCTTCTGAAACTCAGACCAATATTTAAGACTTATGAAATAAGGCAAAGAGATGAATTCAAAGCTGAACTAGCACACATCTAAGGTGTTTGTCTATCTGTAGTCTGAGTGGGACATGGGGAGCAAAAAGTAGGGATAGATACAAAGGAGGCATGTAATTAATAATTATAAAAAAATAAAAAAAATGTTTCTTGTGTTTACACAGTCACCTTGCAGTCTCCTGATGGATCACTGCTCAAACAAATTAGGAATTCAGTTTCCAGACACAAACAAGAACCCCTATAATGCTTCACCATCTTAAGTGTCTTCTGCTGGTGACACCCTGGAACATCCTCCACGATGTACCTCAGTTGGACTAAAGAGAAAATGGAAGCTTGGTACAAAATGAACTAAACGGCACAGGCTTCCCAACCGTTTCACTTCAAATATAAATTGCAAAGGAGGCTGTGGAAAAGCAAGATAGAATAAAGCCCTAAATCAACCATTACATACTTCATTAATTGTATAAAAGTGCAAGATTAAAGTAGTTCAGGTTAAGCATTCAGTTCACTATAGGCCACACAAATGCTTAGCTTGGCCATCAACGGCCTGGTTTTGTCATTCAGTTACTAATATTAGTTTAAACCACAGAAAGAACAACAACTGAATGAAAAAACGTATGCAATCCACTTCAAAAATGGTTAGTTTTCTGTGACCAGCACGAAATATTAGCTCAGTATCATCAGCTATACAATATATACATAAAAATATTTTGTCTTACTCTTTGTTTTTAACAACTTAGAATAAAGTTGTACTAAACATTATTTCCCTTGTGTGCCAACTCTTTGCTCTGGTCCGGCCGGCTGGCCTAATAACACAGAGAAGTCCTTTTATAGCAGTGGTACTTGAACTGATCCATAATTTTGACACTTCAGCCATAGGAACCGTTGAATCGCTTTATTCAGCCAGGCTAGGTGATCGCATGTGACTGCCTAGGTCTCAGTCAAAGCTTCTTGGGCGGCTCCACAAGAAGAACAGGCCATATTCCAAAAACAAACTGTTAAAAAGAAAAACAGGAAGAAGGGAAAGTTTTCCTGGAATATTATGTCTCTTGGAACAGAAACCAAACACTCTTAACCATCATTTCAACCGCATTTCTTGGGATACAAGGAGAAATCAAAGACAGTACCCTAACAGGCATGATCAGTGAGCCCCAATGCAAGTTTAAAGCACAAGACACCCGAATGCTACAGCACGTTAACAGACACAAAATATTGCTTGCCTACCTTCACCTTCGGCCTGTGTTTCAGGAAAAGTGTCCTTGTGTATAAACTGAGGAAAAGGAGAAAAGTGTGCTTAAAATGTCACGTATAAGGCAGCATATAAAATAATAATGATGTACTAATCCCGGTTTTATTTTCCAACTAGAAAAAAATTGCTTCTGTGGTTGCAGAGCTACCCGTTCTGCCTAGATTTATGCAAAGTAGGAGACATTAGCCTACAGTAAATCCCTCTGTCCCAGACCATGATTAGTCTGCTAATCTACCCTATCACCTATGTGGGGAGAAAGAGAGAAACCCGGAGAAAGAAAGTCTCTCTCCACTACGGAAAAGACTAAACAGGGACTAGAGCCTGTCATTTTGGAAGGATGAAATTAAATCAGTGTACCACAAAATACAGCAGACATTAAGGAAGGGGGTGAAGAATGGGGAAGCAGCATAAGTTGATTCTGTATCTCATTTTTGTTCTTCTAGACCCTCTCCCCTCAGTAGATGTCTTCCTGTGTATGACCTCCTCACTTTTTTAAGCAGACATAGGTGATGCCGCTGTGTGGCTGAGAAAATACTAGGGAAACTCCTGCAGGGAAAGCATGCAGTTCATTGAGGTAGGACAGACAAATTGGGCATCTGCACGTTCCCCAAGGGCTAGAGGATGCAAACCCAAATTATTTTCTCTGTGCAGCATGCTGGAAAAACCTCCCCTATGCTATCCAAACTGTCTGCATCAGCTTGCTTTCTGGAAGGAATTTTCTTCAGATGATTATCTCAAGCTGTTTAGGGCAGCAGACAACCTGTCAGCAAAAATGGAGCAGCTGTTTTCCACATACGATTACATATTTTATATATACACATATATTTACATGTACATATAGATACACATCCGCATATACATGTATATATACACATATATGTATATATAAAAAAGCTATCAGAATAGCAACTGGAAATGGACTTGTTTTCCTTGCATTTTCTTTTCACTAGCTATTTTAACTTCTGTCAAAAAAGGAGAATACGATGTTAGATGTACAAAAACCGGCATGTAATCAGGTTTTCTCAACTACATCGATACATAGAATGTTATCTGTTAAACAAACATTCTCTTATGGTTAAGTGGTAAAACATTTCATTACATAATGAACAAACTACAGGAATTCTTCAGATTCCAGCTGAAATTCTATTTTTGTTCCTGGTTCCACTAGATGGTGGTATAGAGCAGAACCAGAGATAAATACTACTGGCTTCAGACTTGCAAACTTAGGCTCTCATTTAAGTCTCCTTTTAAAACTGCACTTCTGGGAACAAGCTCTGCTCCAACCACTTCAGCCATCCCCCTCCTGCTCTATAGCTTTATGCCTCCTAGTTTTCAGAAGCAACAGTGCCCACCAAAAAGATTAGTTATGCTTCTAAAATTAAACATGTTTAAGTACTTCAGGATTGCTGCTCAAGAACAGAAAGATATTCATAGATTATATTTTGAAACTAATATACTGTCAAATAGTTTTGCAGTTTAATTGCTACAGGGTTCCCATTTCTGAATTGCATTGTTCTAAAGAACCATAACTATTTAAAGATTAATGATTACATTTTGAAGAATAAACTTTTACGGAGTTTGTAGATCAGTTGCAAAGAGGAAAGAAAAACTCTCACCAGTTTAGTAAGAAGTCCTTTTCCTGCTCTTCTGGCCAATAGAACATTTTGAAGTAAATCTAAACCTGGGAAAACTCCTAAGACTTTACGCGCATCCAGTTTAGAAAACATTTCCTACCTCAGCAAGATATGAAGGTAAGAGCCCAGGCCTGTGAGAATATGCCACCATGCATGAAACTGTGTCACAGCTCCCACAACGGGAGGCATCTTCTCTCGTAGTGCTCTGTAAGAAAGAAACACCATGCAAGGGGGTTTTATTTTTCAAGCTAAGCAATCTCAAATCGCGGTGCTTGCCCGTCAGATCACACGTTACTATTTCCGTATCTCAGGCACGTGCTTCACGAGCGAGCGAGGCTTCACGCAGTCAGGCTTTCAGCCAGTGAGGAACGGCAGTTACACCTTATACTGCCAGTACAGAAAGACAGTAGCAAACTGGCTTTCTTACACAGTTAAAGAAAGCACGCACTTCTTCATACAACTGGTGATCAGTTACTTCTGGCCTCAATTTTCAAGTAACGTATTTATGCCATCCCACAATCCCAAATGAGTTCTACCATTCTCCTCCCCGAAACCGGCTGAACCACTGTCCGTAGGATGAAATGCTGAGTTTAAGGTTTGAGAGAGGAAATGTGATCTATCTGACATTACCGCTTTACATTTGGCAATCACACCACCTATTCTCCAGCTCCGTGGAAGCTTATCTTGCCTTTTTTCTGTTGTACTCCAAAACAAGGACAAAATAGGTGTTTTGCACAGTTACGGTGTGTGAGCTACTTGGGAAGAGGCTAAGGGATGCACATAGAGAAAGAAAGGGGAGGAAGTACATTGCCCTGATTTCTCCTGCTCACCAGGCTTCTCCAGATAACACCTAGTTTGGCTGATGGTGGAGCAGAGGTTTGCATCTGCCTGTCTTCTTTTTTGACTTTCACATTCAGTCAAAACAAAAAAAGGGAAAACAACGATCTCAGGTGTTAAGGAAGAAAAATCTGAAGCTTCTGTAATACTTATTTACTGCTTGATGTTATAGCATTCAGTCCCCCTGACTAAACGCTAATCCTGGAACTACTGTTTAGTTTCCAGAGCTGCTCAGTCACAAATATGAACACAGAGCTGTGATTCAGTCAGCCCGGGAATGGCATACTGGAACGTACCGACTGTCACCCCAGCGCAGCCTCTGAGCCTGTGCATGGCAGGAAATCTCAAAGCTCAAATTCAAAAGTGCCTTGGAACCAGGGAAGCTGCGTGCTATAGATTTATTATTATTTTCTTTTAAATAAGCTTGAAATTCAGTGAAATACGGAGAAACAAACACTGAAACAAAACACAATTTTGAACATTAAAACTAAAAAGAGCAGGTAGGTGGATGAGTCACAAGTTAGATCTTTAGAGAACAAAAAATTGCAAGGAACTGGAACATATTTTCTCTCTAAAGGTTCGAGATATAATGCCACCTGGAGAAATTCAAGACTCTGCAGACATTGGATTAAAGCTGGTAAACCAGCGTATTTGGGTTTTTTTTTCCAGCACCATAAACAAACAAGTATTACAGGAAATATGCTAACTTCTCTTTTCCCTTTGCAAAATGAGGATGGAAAAAAGTGCTTCAGCAGCTGGTGTAATCTTTGAGGCTAGGAACAAGTTCAGAAGCCCCACAGACCTGCAGCAGCTCAGCAGGCTTAGTGAACTGGGGGTTATAATCTCACCAGTGACACGATGCAGCTGCAAAAATCAACCTCCATGCCAATATTTGCAAAGTCACTGTATACCCACCTGCTTGGGTTGGCAAATAGCTTTTCTATGCCACCTGTATCAACTGTTTCTAGGGATGAGGCACTGTGTATTATATTCAGTACAGCTATATTTTAAAAAAAAAAGTTTCAAGGAAACTCTGTTGGAGCTAACTCTGAATTGGCGTAACCTAGTGCAAGGACGACAGAGCCAAAAGGGACAGGTGGAAAACACTCGCCTTCTTTACAGCACACTATGACCTGACCCTGACAAAGCAACCTACTAGGACAATTCTGTACACCACAGATTCAGCAGCATAACAGTATATCAGAGTGCCAAGAAGGGATTTTTGGGATGCTGGCATCAATCTGTCCATCTCCTCCAGCTTGGGGCAGAACACAAGTGTCGCAATGAAGGCAAAGAAAGGTGCAGTTCCAGAGGAGCACCCAATTAATAGAACAACCTGTTGGACTGGTGTTCTTTCTTGCACGGACAGAGTATCTAGCCATAGGATGAGATGGGGGGTTCCTACAAGCTTTGTCTGGAAGCCTTTTTTACCCCATTTGGCAATACACTAAACAGAGAGGATGTCTTTCCTGGCCTCCTCTACAAGCACTAAGCCAGAAGACTTCAGGCTAAAAATGACAGCCGAGCACTGTGTGTTGGCTCACAGAGTTACTGTTCTTTCTGAGATGCCCAAACAGCTGTTGTTTATTGGTGACAGATATATTGCAGTAGATATTTCTTTAACCTGCAGAACTACTGCTTCTGATACTTTCCTGGGAAATGGCAAGAGCAGAAACCAAAAAAAACAGTATAAGAAACTCATTCAGATGAAATCAAGCGTGAAGAGCAAGCTTTAGCAAGCCACAGATCCTCAAAATTACTCCAGTGACATTACTTTCTCTCAACTTAAATTAATGATAAAGAGAAATATCACTTATTTAAAAAAATAAATCTATTCATGGATAAAAATAAAAAGTTAAAAAACTGTTGAGTGCTGAGTCTAGTCATGAGCAAACTGGGTTAAACCCTTGTGAATGTTTTGCAGGCAGTGTACCATACGTACCATGAGATAGACTTGAAGATACACCACAAGAAAAAAAAAAGCTTTATGATGTAAGACTATTAAGAGCTATCTGAACAAAGTGAAAGAACTCACCTCAATTTATCACAGAAAATGTTGTCCACATTCCAAAGAAAAAATCCCATTAAAAATACAGTTAAAGATGTATAGCCTAGACCTCTAAGCCATGGGTATACCCTAGAGAGACAGAGAGAGAGAAATAATGCAAAGTTTAGTTCTTGATTCTTTAAAGGCAGCTTTTATGTAACATATATAAATACTATTACATACAAATAAACTGCTTTATTAATTTTATTTTTTTTTCCAAAAGGAAAAACATTGACTTCCAATCTGATCTATTTAAGTATCATATTTTACCTCCTCCCTTCTCTCCTGAATTCACATTCTCCAAGACTGGTCTTTTAAACATTTTACTTCTATATTTTTAATTGTTCCCCTAAATACTGCTCTCTCCTAATGCAACAAGTAAGTGGGAAAACTGAAGTTGGCTACAAGGTACTATTTCTTCTGTCCTATGTATAACCTTTCAGTTAAAAAATAGTCATGTTACAAATTAAGACTCTCCCAAAAGAAGATGCACTTTTCCAACATATGATATCCCTATACTAGGGGACGTGTTTAAATAAGGTCTTTCAAAATGACTGTAGTTTTTTGTGAATGAAGATCACCAGGACCAACAACTAACCAAATGAATGATTTTAGAAAACAGTAATTTCATGTTGTACTTTATCACTAAGTTCTATCTATTCGGGATGGAAAAATGTCGTAGAATCAAAGAATGGTTGGGGTTGAAAGGGACCTCTAGAGGTCATCTAGTCCAACCCTCGTGCCAAAGCAGGGTCACCTACAGCAGTTTGCATAGGAATGCATCCGGGTGGGTTTGGAATGGCTCCAGAGTGGGAGACTCCCCCACCTCTCTGGGCACCCTGCGCCAGCGCTCTGACAACCTCACAGTAAAGAAGTTCCTCCTCACATTGAGATGGAATTTCCCATGTTGCAGTTTGTGCCTGTTACCTCTTGTCCTGTCGTTGAGCACCACTGAAAAGAGTCTGGCCCCATCCTCTTGCCACCCGCCCTTTAGATATTGATCAGCATTGATGAGATCCCCTCTCAGTCTTCTTCAGGCTAAACAGCCACAGGGCTCTCAGCTTTTCCTCATCAGAGAGATGCTCCAGACCCCTAATCATCTTCATAGCCCTCTGCTGGACTCTCTCCAGTAGTTCCTTGTCTGTCTTGAACTGGGAAGCCCAGAACTGGGCACAGTACTCCAGATGTGGCCTCACCAGGGCAGAGTAGAGGGGCAGGATGACCTGCTTGCCACACTCTTTTTAATGCACCCCAGGAGACTATCTGCCTTCTTGGCCACAAGGACACATTGCTGGCTCATGGTCAACTTGTCCACCAGGACTCCCAGGTCCCTTTCTGCAGAGCTGCTTTCCAGCAGGTCAGCCCCCAACCTGTACTGGTGCACGGGGTTATTCCTCCCCAGGTGCAGGACCCTACACTTGCCCTTCTTGAGCTTCATTAGGTTCCTCTCCGCTCAACTCTCCAGCCTGTCCAGGTCTCGCTGTATGGTGGCACAGCCTTCTGGTGTGTCAGCCACCCCTCACAGTTTTTGTGTCATCAGCAAACTTGCTGAGGGTACACTCTGTCCCTCATCCAAGTCACTGATGAGTATGTTGAACAAGACTGGACCCAGTCTTGCCAATTTAATTTTGGGAGAAAACAATACACCCTTTAGGATATGGGAAACACACTGAAGAATCAGTTGCGATAAAGTGCACCATTAATAAATTTACCCTCACTATCTGCATCCAGGTTGGGCTATGGAATTGTAAACTTCCTACATGGAAGTTGGTAGCATGTGCTCCTTTCCCACTAAGTTGTCCAAAAGCAAACCCAGTTCCAACCCTAAAAGGCTGCCATGAAACACTGGTCAAGTTATTTTTAAGCACTGTGAATACAGTTTAGATTCTGGGTTAAAACACATTCCTGAGCTGCTCTTTCTCCACTGTGTTATACGCAGTGCATGTTTCAGAGCTGTCAGCACCGGCAACCAAAATGGGCAAAACGTGACAGGTAGAGCTTCTTCCACAGGGCAAACTAACCAGATACACATTTTACATGTTCACAACAAGCGTACTGCCAATATAAACTAGCAAAATTATTATTTGTTTAGTCTAATAAATGCATGGAGCACCATGAGGTACATGGCAGAGACTACACTGTAATATTCCCGACTCAGTGCTCTAGAGACATAAGCAAGCCCAGGAAATGAAAGAGCACTAAATGGTATATTATACATGCTGGTAATTAGGCAATTATAGCTAGAATTGTTCAGGGAATAAATGGTGTTGTTTTGCGAAGGAATGGGAGAGAGGCTGGCATCACTTATTAATGGAGAACATGCTTTGTGAGCAGAGAACAACATTTGCCAAGTTGTAATCTTGGGAAGGAAGCAGACCCAAGAAAGAGATGAAAAGTGTGGGGGAAACAGGCGGGAACAGCAACAAACGATGAAGATACGAAGAGGCAGCAGCCTGGAAGGAATAACGTGCTGCTCTGAGATTTATACTCTAAGCTCAGAGCAACTTCAAGCCCCGCACTAAGAAATACGAGTGACAGAAAGCTAATGCATTTTAAGGAAGTAAGAAGCAAAATAAGCAGAAATTGGGGTCGATGCGTAAGTTGAAACAGGTTTGGACAAACTCTAGCATTATCAATGGAAAGACAGGAATATGTTATAGCAATGCAGAGGAAGTAAATCCAAAAGCGTTACTTGGGGATGACTTTTAGAGAAAAGACAGGGTACCTTCAAGTTGGCACAGCTTCTCTAGTAGAACTAATTTAAAATTAGCAGTAGTTTAGTTAAAGTCTAAAAGTAGTACTTCTCTCCCCATCCCAGCTTTCTAACCAGTTTGCATAATACAACCAAAGGGGGAAGCAAGTCTTTGTGGGGCCATGTTGCAACGAAGTGATCTAGCTAATTAAGAAAATACACTCCAACCCTCTAAAACTGAAGCGAAAAAATAGGTGGAACTTCAGAGACAGACTTTGCTGGAGGAAAACAATGAATGATACCCTGGGAGGGAGGACGGGGGTGTTATAGATAGTGACAGAGGACTATGAAATGCTTCAGAAATAGTAAGAATGCACAAGCGTGGGAAATTTGCAGAACTGGAAAGATAGCAGGCTCAAGGGTTCGTCTACACAGACGGAAAGAAATTTAATCTGACTAGCACTGTGCTAAATCCTTGTATAAGAACAAAATTAAAATGACCTGAACTTGATTCAACTTAGTTCCCCATGGAAGCGAATTAAGGTAATATCACTTAAGATCTCCAGGTTTGGATTAAAATTTCCATGTTAATGGGTTTGAAAAATGCCTTTAAACTGATGATTGTTTCTAAAGCTGCAAGCAACATGCTACTAGTTTTAAGTTCTCGCTTAATAAAAATCTGTGAAGATTTACACTTGGTCTGTGGGGATTTCTTGGGGAAAGTCAAACCAAATTAACTGAAATTGCTATTGGAAGGTGATTCAATGAACGTACTTTAAATTCACACCTTTTGTTAAATTCTTCCTTGTGTTCCTGAACAGATTTGGGTGTAACTCGAAACAAAATTTAACAAAAAGCACATTTAGAATTAAGATAGTAGAGAGAAATCAGTAATTTTCAGGTTCAATCCCCAAATACGCGAGAACACCAACTATTCCCAGGGGAGAGACAGGACGGGGCAACCAACTGAGCCTCTGAGAGCTAACGGTATGTGTTTACTCCAATACTGATTCAATTCCTTTTTCTTCTCTTGTACCCACCCAGTCTGATGCTCTGATGATTCTAATGCTTCTCAATGTCTCCTAACATTTCTAATACCCTTTTGTTTGTTACAAATAGTTTTTATTTCAGTTCCCACAACGTATACCTAACTGGACCTAGTCAAAACTGTAAGGAAAACTATCATTTAACCTTCTCTGTTATTATCTTTTACATTTGAATTTTAGATACTTGAGTAGGGGAGAGGAAAGGAAAATATTAACCAACGGTTCAGCTCTGCACTCTTAGTCTCACCTCTCTCCAAGTATCACTGTTAAGAGTTTGGACACCGGTAATAGATTTCACACATTACCCAGCAATACAAAGAGAGAAACTCCATTCCCCTTGAAGTCCCAGGCTAACAGCGGAAGCCAGTGGCGGAACACCTGGCAGTGAACACTGATCATAAGTGTAGAGATTTCCGTTTTGTTTAATGTTATCCCAGTGGCTTCAAAAAAATGCAAGGAGATGAGCCACTCCCTTTCAACCAAGCAGTGCACATGAACTACCATTATGTACCTAGTTAAAGAAATTTTGCCATTGCCAATTTCTCATGTTAAGCCCACGAAAAAAACAAAAGATGCAAATGCTAAGTTATATCTTAAAATGCTGAACTAAATGGTTACTTACCATAATACTATATACACAGATCGTAGAACTATAATAGAAACTAGTGTTCCATACATGATCTGGAAATAAAAAAATAAAAAAAAAAAAAAAAAAGAGATAAAATTCAGCAGTTGGATTCAAGAGACTTTATAAAACACTACAGGAGTAAAAATATTTTGGAAGCCTCTGTTGATTTTTATTTCTTAGTCTCAGGAAAATAGTATCCCCTCTAACTTCCTCTCCAGAAAGTCTTCCATAAAAGTTTCAAATAAAAGTATGACTATAAACCATGCCCTTTATGCAATTACAGAGAAAGTCAGTGGTGTAGAACTGGTTTGACTTTTTTGAATTAGAAAGTAAACACTAGATGGCACTCAATAAACATCCTGAAACCCAAACGGTAACTTAACTCCTATCATCTCTCCGGCATCTGTGCTGTTTAGTTCAGGATTGCATAAGAATCAGCTAAAACCATTCTTGAACGCTATGCTTCCTTCACTGATTAATATTTTCTCCTGAAAACAAACACCTGAATAGACTATGCACTATGCCCACACCGAACACCAGTATAGAAGAAACTTTCCAGGCAGCACTTAAAACCAACTATTACAGATTGTTGGGATTCAATGTAATTATACATTGGGAAGGCTGCATGCTCCAAAAAGATCCACGAGCAAATCTGGCTGACTGTAGACTTGGTGAATTTGAATGTAATTCCCTGACATATAAAAAGTCGAAGTAATCACTTATTTTCTGCCTCGTGATCTTTAAATCACTCTCCTTTTTTTATTCACAAGCTTGGGATCCACAGAACACCATCTCCAAGACATACACATTGAAGAAGAGAAGAAATGCGGTCACTCATGCCTGAAAAGCGGTGCAGAAGTCACTGCAGTAGGGAGGATTTAGAATCATAGAATCATAGAATGGTTTAGGTTGGAAAGGACCTTGAAGATCATTGAGTTCCACCCCCCCTGCCATGGGCAGGGACACCTCCTACCAGACCAGGTTGCCCAAGGCCATGTCCAGCCTGGCCTTCAACACCTCCAGGGATGGGGCCTCAACACCCTCTCTGGGCAACCTGTTCCAGTGCCTCAGCACCCTCAAAGTGAAAAACTTCTTCCTAATCTTTAATCTAAACCTGCCCTCTTCCAGTTTATAGCCATTCCCCCTCGTCCTGTCACTACATGCCCCAGTAAAAAGTCCTTCCCCAGCTCTCCTGGAGCCCCTTTAGGGACTGGAAGGCCACAATAAGATCTCCCCGGAGCCTTCTCTTCTCCAGGCTGAACAGCCCCAACTCTCTCAGCCTCTCAAATTTCCAGACACTGGTGACATTAAGTTACTCTCCATGCTTTTTATTCCGAACACTGTTTTCCTCCTGCCAAAAGGCAGTTTGTTCCAAGCAGTCATGCCCCTCTCTTTGCCTCTCTCCACTGGCTCACAAGCCCCTTGCTCTTTTTTGCTTCTGTGGTCACTGCCTTTCCTTTCTCAGTTTTAGTTAACTCCTATCTATCACTGCCTTGTTTTACCCGAACAAATGATAAACCTTTGCTGCCTATTTTTAAAAGCCACTAAACCTCACAGAGGTGTGTTTACAGACCTGTGTCCTTACCACGTTCTACTGACCTCCTCGTACCTTTCCTTCTTTTAGACTACGCTGTTTTCAGGGCAAGGACTACCTCTTACTCTGCTGGAACCGGGGCGTTCAGCTACTACTATCCTGCAAGCACACACACGGGTCTAGTTACCGACATAAAATAGATGGCTGTAACAACGCAAAGTGAAACCTGCCTTTCAAAAGCCCATAAAGGCAAATTTCCCAACTCCTTTTAGCGTTAAGGATGAGGTTAGTAGCACACGCCATATTATCAGTGCATATATACAGAACAAGACATGCAACAGAGCCCTTATGTTTGACAACGGGTAAAAAGTAAGCTCCAATATTGACTATGCAAAGTCATTCAGCACAGCAGCTCTTTATTTGCATTCAGAGTCAGATCAAATAACTTCAGTAACTAAACTGCTACTACTGTGTGTTCTGCTCCGTAGAGCTAAACAAAGCGAAACTACTTAAAAGGCTTATTGGTTCTGGCTTGTACTTTATAAAAAACTGTTAGCTAATTCCAGTTCCCTTGCTGTGGTACAGCACGTAAATTGGAAAAAACCCCAAAACCAACAAAACCCGCTCAACACAGGCTGAGTACTGAGAACTTATCAGTCCCAAGCTCAAAGTAGAAAGGGGCTGCTCAGGTGCTGCGTGCTGGTACAATTCTTCATCACTGACATTTTCACAGAATCACAGAGTGGTCAGGGTTGGAAGGGACCTCTGGAGATCATCCAGTCCAACCCCCCCACCAGAGCAGGGTCACCTACAGCACGTGGCACAGGACAGCGTCCAGGCGGGTTTTGAATGTCTCCAGAGTGGGAGACTCCACCCCCTCTCTGGGCAGCCTGTGCCAGTGCTCCACTACCCTCAAAGTAAAGAAGTTCCTTCTCATGTTAAGATGGAACTTCCTATGTTCAAGTTTATGCCCGTTACCCCTCGTCCTATCACTGGGCGCCACTGAAAAAAGACTGCTCCCATCCCCCTGGCACCCTCCCTTTAAGTATTTATAAGTATTAATAAGATCCCCCCTCAATCTTCTTTTCTCTAGACTAAAGAGACCCAAGTCCCTAAGCCTTTCTCCATATTTTGCCTAAAAAGACCCCACAAATGCAGACTTAAATTTGAAAGTTAAATGCCATTTTACTTCATCAGCCTCATTTAAAACAGCCTGTTTCGTTTTCCAAATCAAATCCAGTAATTTATTCTGAGAGAGGGATGGCACAGAGGAATCCATGGAAAGGCTCCTCTGGAACCCAAATCACAGTTTGATGCCCTTTCCTTGCCCATCTCCTCCTTCCTACAACTTCCATTGCTAAAATGCTCTTCTGCAGCAGAGACACAGCAAAAACTTAACTGTGAAGAGAAATTTCTATTGTAGTTGTTAGGGGTGTGCCCACTTTCATGGTTTTATCCGATTTGCTCTTGGGTTCTTTGTACAAGGACTCAAATAGCGTCAGACTATGCCTAGAGAAACATGGCCTCTAGGCAGCCCAAAGCCCAGGTAAAAAACAGACTAAAAATGCTAAATTTTTTTCAGCAGCTACTAAAAGCAGGAAAGAGCAAAAGCTAAGAAAAGCTTTCTTTGTAGAGCCTCGAAAAGCTTTCTTTTTAGTCAGTCACCTAATGGCTTGCAGGAGAGGCCAGTCCTAACGGAGGGAGGAAGGAAAAAAATACAAAGAACCTTGGAACGACTGAAAAAAAATATATGCCCACAGCTGACACTTCAATTTCTTGCCATTTCCGCTCCCCCACACAAACGGGTTGTTAGCAGTAAAACACACTCGTGTTTAAAAGCCTGTGAAAGACTGGAACAACAAAGTGTTCTGCTCGGCGTGCTCCAATCCTCCTCTTCGCACTGAAGGCAAGCACGGAGGTGTCGCCGTGAGCTGCAGAGACCGGAGCTGCACGTCTCGCTACAGCTGTTTCTTACTAGAGACCTATAATCCGCGCCACACAACTTAGTTTATACTTCAGGGAGCAGTGCTTACTTTTACTGCTTTACCACCCATGGATTTACAACGTTCATCATGCCAAAAATTTGTTAGGTATTATCCGTCTACCCAAAGAAGGATAAAGTATAAAATAATAATAAAAAAAGTCCACCTTATTAAAGTTGACTCAAATTTTTCAATTCCTTTAGCTCCCTTTGTTCTTCTTCTTTAACTAACACATCATTTAAGTGACAGGTGAAAACGCAAACAGGTTTTGTGCTATTTTGTCTCACAGTGCTTTTAAATTGCATGCCAAAGAACACCCTTGCACTACAATTGAAACAAAAGGAAGCAGCAGAATCTCATCATCTTTTGTTATCACTAGACAGTTCGCTCCTTGCTGTTTAAGATGCAAATAAAGCTGCTTGTGTATCAGCTTTGAAGCTCGTACCTTTGCAATAGGGAAAACCCCAAAGTCTTATTAATAGACAGTGGATTACCTGATATGAAGGCCAAATATGAAGAACAGCATTTTAATTCACAAATGGGAAGTAAGAGTTTCAGGGCTCAGTGTTTGGCAGCATTTTTGATGTGGAGGCAGTTAAGCAAATTATATAGATTCACTTCTCATGCCAGCCGGAGGCAATGTTGGTACTCCACACTGGGGGGAACATACAAAACTGGTTCTTCATCTGCCCTTCTAGTACAGAAAGCAGCAATAGCCTGTTACTTCCACTTCTGTTTCCTCTGCTCCTGGCCTTCTGCCCATCCTTGGTTAATAAAGTCAATTTATCAGCTTCAAATATTAAGTGTACACATTGGGAACCGCACTGAGAGATTTTGGGTTCTTGGCAACCACTGCTTATCTATTAACATACTATCCAGCTATCAAAAAATAGTTAGCATAAGTACTTGAAGCTGGAAATTGCATTTGCAATTTACAACAAAGAAAACAGACTTCTACATGTTCTTGGATTTCTGGAAAAGAAATCTGGGCAGAGAGAAAAGGGAAGGACAATCCCCACGATGACAGTGAAAGACCGAGTAACTCTGCACAGTTATGGCTGTTTAGCACTCCATGTTGCCCGACAGCTCCTGAACGAACTAATTCAGATTCACTTGGTTTGGTTCTGGTTAGATGCACGTACATGATGACAAAGCGACATACAAGTCACTGCTGCTGCATGGCACAGAGCTGCTCTCCAGAGCTTCTGGGACACCGTCCGCAGCAGTAAACTGAGCTTCTACAATGACATGTAGAGCTAATCCTTTGCAGAGTCTGAACATCCTTCCACATTCCCTAAGCTGTCGTGCAGGTAAAAGTATTAGTCAGAATGAAACCTGTACTGGCTTTCTGGAAGACATCCCCAAACAAGCTGTGGAACAGAGCGAAACGTCACTCAAATTAGTTTTATACT